CAAACAGTAGCTAAAACCAAGACCAAAACATAGCTAAAATTAGAGCTAAAAGCCAAAATTGTGAAAACAGTAGCTAAAAGCGAAGACTAGAAAATCAGGATCTAGCTTGTTTAGGCTCCGATATCCACGTGCAGGAGACAACGCTGGTCTGTTTGTTAGCAAAACATGTAAAGCACCACTGGCCAGATGTTCCGGAAACAGCTTTAGGAGTCAGGCTGATTCAAGATGGCCGCCACAGCCAAGTGGCCCTTCCAGACACAACTGCGGCTGCGCATCAGGTCATTGTAGGGCCGCTGGCCGGAGACTCGGGGTGGTAGTAGTGGAGAGTCATCTCCAGCGCGCACTCTGAGCGCTGACACCTCGCGGGCGACATGCATCCTGCGCGCTGACGCACGCGGAGAGACGAGCACGGAGCACAAAAAGCCAAAGCGGCAGAGGTTCTGGAGGTCCGGAGCGGACCCACTCACCCTGGACGAAGCTTTCCTCTTGTACTTGTTGGAGAAGTCGAACTTCTCCTTGAGCTGGTCCAGGAGCTGCTCCAGGCGGAACCGCTCCTCCTCGCCCGTGTAATCCTGACCCAGGAGGATGTACGCCCTCCAGTTGGCCGAGTCGAACCCCCAGTGGCAAGTCCGGTTCTCCTGCGCCTTGTGGCCGTGCACCACGAACTTGTGCGTGGGGTACATGAGTCTGCAGTCCGCGCACTGGATGCACGCGGCGCTCGGGCTCGTGTACAGCTCGGGCACGAACAAGCCCTTGCACTTGCCGAAGCACTCGTGGTAGACCCTGAAGCTGCGCTCGGTCCGCTGCAGGTCCAGGGACCCGGGGTTCGGGTCCTTCTTGCAGCGGGGCGGGAAGGCGCCGCCGTGGATCAGGGCGTTGCAGAGCCGCTCCGAGTCCGTCTTGGTGATGAGGCCGCAGGACGGCGCGGAGAAGGGCAGGATCCCCATGACTTTGAGGATCTCCAGCTGGTCCGCCGTGCAGCGCGAGCAGTACACGTGCAGCTCGTCGCACACAGAGTTGATCTGCTGCAGGCTGAAGTCCCGCAGCACCGAGTTCAGGATCTGCGGGAGGCACAGCCGCTTCTCCCCGCCGACCACGAAGCAGGAGATGGTCTCCCCCTCCAGGACCGTCTCGCACCTCTCCGTGGAGCGGTCGGACGGGATGAAGAGCGGGCCGGGCATGACGGGCGGCGGCAGGTGCTGCAGGACGGGCTCCAGCTCCTTACCGTCCTTCTTGAAGAGGAGCTCGTGCTGCCAGCGCGCGGAGAAGGCCGCCGGCCCGCCCAGGGAGCTCATGGAGCTGATGTGGAACTGCTTGAGGGTCTGCTGCAGTCCCGGGTGAGGCTGGAAGCGACTTATAGCCTCCATGGTTCCGGTCCAACTTTGGAAATCCTGCGTCTCACTGAGCGAATCTCAGCGCGGAGAATCCACGGCGTCCCAGGAGTGACAAAAAGTGCGAAACGCGTCATCAAACATCCATTTAATTCAAAATTTAACAGTCCCGGACCGGAGTTCCGTCGCTCTTCCGATTCTTTAGTTCTTTGATCACTTCGGACGCCGACCGGCAGGACTGTCCATTTCCGAACCGAGCCGGGTCTGCCCGAACTCCAGAGCGGCAAAAAGTTCCGAGCGACACGAAAACCAGAGCAAAACACGGCGCTGGGTCCAGTAAAAAGTCCTGGTTTCAGGTACGCGGCGGTCCGGTCCGTCTCTCTCCGCGGCTCGCTGGGACTGAGGCGGCCGCTGGCGCGCGCTCCCTCCTCCCTCTCTCCGCCTCGCGCTGCCTCTCTCTGACGCCCCTCCCCCCGCAGTGTTTGTCTGGCTCCGTCAGCCAGGAATGTGAGTGACTCTGCAGGCCGGCTCTTCCAGGAACGAGCCGTCACCCCCCACCACCGCACACATACAACGCGCATGCGCACACACAACCAGGGAGACGAATTAATGCTGCGTTCAGAAGCAGCAGGATTTTTTAACTTTTAGTTTACAGTATGTACAGCATTGCCAACTATTTACCGGTTGTTTTAATATTTTATTTTAAATGTATATTCCATTATACTTACTTTTTTGTATATGTGTTTTATTTAGTATATTTTTAATGCTGTAGTTTACTAAAATTGTCTGATTTTAGACTAACGTTTAATGATGAATCTGAAGCTTTTGAGTATTTTATTTGCTTATCTTCATTTTGTCTTGCATCTATGAGTCGGGAGATTCTCTTTTTTTAATTTGGTTGTATTTTGTTATGAATTTTATATTCAAGTTAAATAAAAACATAAAATATAAAAATCAAGCCAGTTTGTCCTTTTTAAACAATGATTTATTCAAGTTTCTTTGATTTCCTGCTTTCTTTGGTTTTTGATTTTGCCACATTTTATATTTTTATCGACCAGAAGAAACCAATAATTGTCATATGAAAATTATTATTAACACACATTTTATTAAAAGCAATTAGGTTTTTTTTACATTTTTGTTATATTTTATCACATTTGTTTAATTACTTGTTGAATGTAGAGCTGAGTACATTGAACCCGTTTGATTTGAGGTTATTAATGAAAATGAGGAAATAGAAAATGTATGATCATTTTTATATTTAATGTTTTCTCTTTTACTTATTTTGCCTTTAGTACAGCTTGGAGGCAGGTGGTATTGTTTTTGTTTTTATTTTGATGTTTTTTATAGCTTTTATATAGTTTTGTTAATGTTAAGCTCGACATAATAAAAATGCACCAACTGAAAATATGTTTTACTTTTTTATTCAAGCACTGAGTATTTGTTTGTCTCTCTAATATTACAGTATTTAGTTTGCTGTATTTATTTTAAGCAGTTTTATTTTGTTATATTTTGTCAATATATAATAGTTTCTGACCATATGTGCTCATTTGTTGTCTGTTAGCAAAATATCATGAGCCGCTGGACAGTTTTTTCCCTGAAAGTAGCTAAAGTGGTTTGTGTGTGTAACTGTCAGGTTTACAGATCTGAGGGTTAGGTTGTTGTGGTAGTAGCTGAGAGTCATCCTCAAAGTGGACACCTGAAGCAGTTGGAGCTGAAGCATCTTTAAAGTGCATTCCCACTTTTTAAAATCTGTGCGCAGCTTTGATTTACATGGCAGAGCTGCAGGAATCCAGATTGTTGAAGTTGCCAGCTTTCCCAGGGTTCCTGAATGCATCAGAACATAATCCTTTGGCTTTAGTTTGTGAAGGAGAAGAAGAAGAGCAAGAAGAGGAAGATGTTTAGATTTTAACAAAACTTTATTTACACAATAAGTTAACACAACAGTGTTAAACAAGGTGATCAGGACAAGCTTAAAAGGAGGATGAGGAGGAGGAGGAGGAGGAAAAGATGAAGGATGGGGAGGAGGAGAAGATGGGTGGTGTTTTATGAGACATATTTCTCATTAAGAGGAAACAACTCGTTTCATCAGTTCTTCTCTGAACGTTCTGAAACTTTGATTGATTGATTGATTTCACCATCAAAAACATTGAATCTGTTGATTTCACCATCAGAAACATTGAATCTGTTGATTTCACCATCAGAAACATTGAATCTGTTGATTTCATCATCAGAAACTTTGAATCTGTTGATTTCACCATCAGAAACTTTGAATTTGTTGATTTCAACATCAGAAAC